GCTTGACGAAGACCAGCGACAACGGCGCCCGAAAATAGCAATTTTCAAAAATACTGTTTGAAGGTTCTTTGGTGAACGTTGCCGCCAAGCGTGGGTGCGTGAGCCCTGCAGCATTCATTCGTCTGTCCATGTGTTGATCAATCGTCGGCCGTGTCAACCGGCCGACCAATGATTGAATATTTGTCTCAGTGCTGCTGAAACTGATAGTGCTTCCAAAGGTCTTGGTCTTTGATCCCGTGAGGCGGCGTCATCGGAGAGGCTGTGAATTTCTCATGGTCAATGATATTGTCGGTAGCACATGAAGAGGAATGCACGTGTCTTCAAATACCAAGGTTACGTAGTGTGTTGCGTGTGTGCGGGTTTGCGTCATGACTGGCGTTGTTTCGAGGGGTCAGAGAACGGTGTGATATGGATAGAAGCGTGTACCAATGATGGTACAGAGTCTTCGCAATGAACCCAGTGAGCCAATGGCTGATGATGACCGGCTCTTTTTCTGGTGTCGCCAGGTGAATTAAAGTCCGTGCACAACAATTTTGTCCGATCACGTTTTGTGCGACAACTTCTTTCCGAAACAGAATGGAACGTGAAACAACTAGTCGTAACCGTCTCGTCGAGATATGCCAAAAGCTGCGGATTTTTAACGATAATGCAACAATTTTGATACAACTCATACATACACGGTGCCCCCTAATTCACCACAATCTCCCACTCTCTCATTCACGAATCTCCCTGACAGTATCTTATTTTTATACCACGGGACACCACATGTTTCCATTTGTGCAGATATCGGGAAGAACTCTTGATCGACAACACTCCCCTCGAAGGCCAAATTCGCATCACCACTGACTTCCACAATGAATGTCGAATATCTCAAAAATGGAAAGTTTGGTGAGGCAGATATAGCCGAGGCAGACTACTGTTTATTGAAACCGTCGAATATGCCAGAGGCATTTTTTTTCCTGTATTTCGGGGTATCAGAATGGAGAGTAGATTTTGGAGTGGTCACTTTCTCGAAGAGTTCATGTGCAAGGAGAAGGCCTGCTGGACAGGCGTGCATAGCAGAACTGCACAACATCAGTAGACTAGTAGGTGGACTCAGAGAGAGGGATACAAAGGATTGGCCAGGTTCGGAGGCCAAGAAATATGAAAGTTTGTTGTCGAAGACCGAACAAACTGTACCAGTTTATTGTGCACGGAAGAATTCGGAACATCTCCCTGATCTACGTGTGTATTTAGGTTCCTGTTGTGCCGCCCTGGAGGCGCGTTGGTTGGGATGTCTTGGTTCGGTTTTCTGGGGCCCCCAAAAGAGAAAGGTCTCACAGAGTTCTCATTCTGCTGCCTCGCTGCTCCTGCGGCAAGAGTTTGATAGACGCTTGTTCACTTGACCCAAGGGCCACGTTGTGCGATGTGCTCCATAATACTCCTGCGGGCTCCGTTCCATTCTCCATTCCAGCCTGAGCTGATTTCCACCCCTGCGTTGCTTTCCATTCCAGCTGACGCTGCTCTCCCACTCCTCCTCCCTCAGCTACGTTTCATTCCAGCTGGCACTTGTCGGGGAAACAGCTCCCCTCATCAATCCACGGACTTTCACCTGTTCTTCCTCAGGGTCACTTTCATCCACTCTCCGGTGAGACCTTGTACACCTGTGGTCTAGTTGCATTCATTCTAACTGCTCCGAGGGCTGGGTGTTGTTGGGTACCTCGAGCCTACATCTTCACATGTTAGCCACTGTTAATCTTGCGTCGACAAGCGCCACGTATGACGCTGGACACTCGTTATCTCCGTGAACGTCATCCCGTCTTTGACTACTGGCAATTCTTGGAGTGGCGCTTTTCGTGTGGAAAGAAGAGGGAATGTCTCACCAAAACGTGTTCGAAAATGGGACCTATTTATGCACAGTGGTGGGTGGGAAATATCGTCAACCGTGTCATACAGGTCACTATCAGGGCCTCATGAACAAGAGTGTGGGCGAAGAATTGAGAGAGAGTGACGTTTCAGTTGCGGGCGGTGTTCTGTAGACCTCGATGTGGGTATGGTACGGCATGTCCCATTCGGCATCCATCCTTACAGACTGAGAAAAATGTCTCGATAGAGTGAAAACCTCGACAGAAACAGGAAAATTCGGACGGATGTAGGCTTCGTATGTCACAGCAGTAGTCCTAAATGCGTTCCTCGTCTCACCAACGCGACGACCGCCTCGGCCTCCGTGTCGGGATCGAACAACACAGTCGCCAACATTTTGTGGATGCATGAATCACGGATCGAATTGAGCTACATAATCAGTATTTGAGTGAAGGCGTACAAAGGCTCGTGAGGAGCGGAGTGAGAACGTGCGAGGGTCAGGAAAGCTCACGTAGCCTCAGGGAATGCCTCACCTTCTCCACAGAAGTTAGTTATCCTAACCTTCTTCTTGAGAGCCCCCCCAACCTCACCCCCGACAAGCCTGTACGGATCGACTCAAAGTCCGTCTGTGCTCATTGAAGCTATGACGCATGAAGTTTGGAGTGTGTTGGGTGCCTCGATCATGCCAGCCGAACACCTCTCGCATTCCTTCCCATGCTGCAGTTGAGTGCTTCACGGTTAGGGGTGGATGTTCCACATTTGACGTCTCCAGCCACCGCCGATGTTCCGCTTACATGCGCCACATATGACGCTGGATGTTTCGACCCTCGGCGTAATTTTGATGAAGGAGAATGAATGTCTCACCGACAGAGTACGGCACTTGTGAATGTAATCACGGTAACGGGGGGAGGTCTTGACAGCTTTTCACTCTTCTTCCTATCGACTTACCCATTCACTTGAAAATACTGAATGACGTGCGATGTGTCCTCACTCAAGTTTCATTCCACAGACTTTTCACTTTGTTTGGAATGAGTTGTAGCCGCTCATTCTTCACTCCAATTTGAGTTCCGCAGCACGCTACCTTCTCAGTTCATATGCATGTGATTACTGTACTTACTCACATTCTGGCGCTACGGTCACGCAGAGTAGGAGCTTTCGCTGGGATCGCTTCACTCCCTTCAACACAGTTGTACTTTTTACTCAACTATGACATGAACGACTACCACCCACAACGTCACATCGCCACGTTGGGTGCCACCGCACCACGGGGTTGGAATGGAGTGCGCGTGAGAGGATGGGCAACGTATCGGTGTTGCTATGAGGTCGGTTGACGCGGAGATGGATATCCGGGGGGACGTGGCGGAAGGGCTGAGAAATGGGTGCTGCCAATCTGGTTGATTGGAATGATTACCTATTACGTAGGTGGGGAGTATGGGATTGGCTCAACTGGGAGCTCGGATGGAGACGACGCGGTACGATAAGAAAGAGGATGGGAAATGGATGGGCTTGGTTATAATCGCAGTTCGGTTAGCCACACAGTTGAAATGGCGTGGAGAAGACAAGGCGCGGCCGGGCAGGCAGGGGGGCAGGGATCGGTGTGGCCAGGAGCTCGGATAGAGGCGAGACGTTTGTCGTGTGCGCGTATCAAATCCGGCCAGGACAGCCATGGCTTACGCCTCCCCCACCGACGGCTCCGTCATCCTCGCAACGGCTGTCGGGAAGGCTCCGCGGGACGCCGACGGCAACACCACCGGTCCGGTGCCGCAGAAGAACCGGACCCTGCCCACGGCCAACGCGAGGAAAATGTCCAAAGTCCGAGCGCTTCGATCCGAGAACATTGCGGCTAGGCTCGAGAAGAAGAAAGCGGCTCTCGAGGGCCAGACCCTCCGGAGGGGAAAGGTGGCAACCCTCATGGGCTTCTTGCCCTTCGGGAAGCACGGCTTCCTCAGGAGAAGGGCGAGGGAGCACGCGGAGGCGCACGTGGGCGAGGCGACGCTCTCCATCACCAAGAAGGGCGGCCTGGTACGTTGGAGGACAGCAAGACTTGTAGCCGCTGTAGTAGCAGGGTGAATGGTGGAATGTAAAACGTGCGTCGGTTGGGGTCGATCCCGAGGTCTGTCCATGATATGGTTCAAATGAGTGGAATTGTTGGCCACTTCATCCATGCACCCTGCCGTGTCCCCTCCGTCATCCGGTCAACTAGTTTTCACCCCGGTGCGCTCCCTCCCCCTCCTTTGACAGCCTTTGCTAATACATTTTAGGTGTGGTGGTACATGAGCAAATCAATGGCGCACACAAAATCTCCCCCCCTCAACATGCACAGAAAATAATGTCCCCTAAAACTAAAACCCCGACCCCGCCCCTCTCAACCCGTCTTTGTGTGCGGAACCCCATACGTGTATACCTTCCTGCGCAGGAAGTATCGGTCGACGGGACCGTCGTGCTCCGGAAGTCTGGGCCATCTTGGTTTGGGTTTCGCCGAACAGATCGGTCGTACGAACTGCGAGTGACCGAAGAGGGGGTGGATATCTCCAGACGAGGGATGTACGACTGGGGAATCAAGGCTCAGGACCCCTAGACAGAAAGAAAGCGTCCGCACCACCGAACCCAACCTTGGTTTTCTCCTCATCCCGAAGGGATCGTACGCTATGTACCCACTAGTAGTTGAGCTTCTGTTAAAGTTCTGGGGCTTGAAGTTTCTTAAACGATACTTTTTTGAGGGAGGACCTTTTTTCTGTGGACCAAAGGGGGAGTCGGTTGTGAAGTTTCTTGAACGATACTTTTTTGAGGGAGGTATTTTTGTCTGTGGACCTAAAAAAAAGGAGGAGTCTGTTGTTTTCAAGCTGTCCTTGTAAGGCGACATGCATGTAGCTTTGGACGGGAACGTCTTCCATACAACACGGAGTTCATGTTGTCTTGTGTGGTCTTTCTAACATTTCTTTGTGTAGACACTTGGCGGTCGCTTCTTCGTTACTGCTTTCCACCTGCTTTCTTCGACAATGGTCTTAGCGCCCTTGAGATCAATTTGCTTTTATTAGCTTGACATTTGCTTGAAACAATCAATGCATGTGTGCGCTTTTCGACTTCGCGGCCGAACGAGGCTAAATATAGAGTGCGGTGGGGGGCATCTTCTTTGCTATCTACCAATATCACGCGTCGCATTACTCTTTGAGGTAAGATGCGACATCCTGACAATATCCAGATAGATGCAGCAAAGAAGCCGAGCGCGCGTATGTGTATCTTCATTGTTTGCATTGACCGCGCTGACCGACTCACCAATGAAAAGACGTCAGCCTTCGTGCGGTTGAAAACACACAACACTTCTATCTGCCATGAACTGGGTGTGTGTGTGCTTGTGAAAGTCTGTCAGACTCTGACAAATCTCTCCCTGATGATTCATGGTGGCAACGCTTTTTCATAAGTCCAAGTGCGGCACGTGGTCGTTGAACGAAACTATTCGCCCCAACGGTGATGGTAACTATTGTGATAGCAACTCGACGAGTATCGTCGCGTTACCTGTCTGAAGCTTTCCAGTTTTTTAGCGGTTAATGAAGTCGAGGGCGCACACCGCGACACGCTCGCCCGCCGAGGACGACAAGAGTTCTGTACACAGAGTAGATGACATAAGATGTCACACCCCTTGCACACCCCCTGAACATTTTTTTTTATTTTCAAAGCTCGATTACTCCACAGCAGAAAGCGTGGCGTGGCCGGGCGGCGTTGGCACCGATAGCTTTCCGAAACAAACCTATCGTTTGACATCCTCGTCGTCGTGGACTAACATTATTAGCTGTGAATATCGATGATGCGATATATTATGTCACCTCCTGCCGGTACATGCCATGCATAAGAACAAGGAGCACCCTCCATACTCCAGTAAGTTTTTGTATTTCTTTAGTAGTTGAATTGAAACCTCTCATTATACCCATCCATGAAGAAGTCGTTTTATTCGCTAATACTTCATAAGTGCTGCAAAAACTATCCATGAACGAACCCAGGAGTTCCGTTGTTGTTGTCTTCACAATCAGTTACAGTCCCGTTCGTTCTGCTGTCTCTACCCAGTACCTTCTTCGTCTGTCCGTACTACTATGTATGATATAGTCTGACACTTGACGCCGTCGATCCCCGCCGTGGTCACAGGCTAACTAACCTACCCAGAAAAGTTACACGAAAATAAAATTGAGCCTAAGAAGGGTCCGCGAGTCAACGACAGATTAGTCTAGGACCCCCCGCTCGCTTCAATACGCTATGCGAGGTAGTAGCCTATAGACTGGACAACAAAGAAAAAAAGCAAAAGAAAAATAGAGGCGACCTCGCGCGCACCCGAAAAAAACGTCAGTCTTCGACCGGCACTTCTCACTACGCCCATCCATCCATGCGCATGCACTTTTTGGTGCCGAGGGACTCCATGCTTTCAAGAATGCCGCCAATCATCTAGTTGATATTTTTCTGTAGTTTACATACATACATGTAGTACGCACGTCACACCCGAATGAAAAGGAGAACACACCAGAACGCGCTCTCCGCACGCTGGGAAAGAATCCGGGACTAAATGAATGCGGACCTCAGAAGATGCGCTTTTCACAGCAGTAGGTTTCCTCTCCGAAACGAAAGAAACGGACGGGAGAGAGGGAAAAAAGAAAAAAGAAGAGGCGTAGTGCGCGTTCCCCGTCATGGACATTTAATATGAGTCGTATTGTGGCAGTGGCAGGAACCTCTCTCTCTCTGCGATCAGGTCAGAAGGCCACCATTCCCCGGGGCTCTTCTGTTGCACCCACCCATGGACGGACGCAGCAGTAGCAGCGCATGTCCTTCAGTAGACAACTAACTACTGCTGAAAATATTGGAGACCACGAATCAAACCGACAGGTGGGTCGTGGGTGGGCGGGGGACCCTAAGAACAGCCAGACTCAGCCAGTTTAGATCCTCACAGTTTCTTGCAAGCAAGAACGAAGGGCGATACATAAAGAGAGACCGCCAACCACAGGAAACAAAGAAGTAGAGGAGAGCAGAGCTAAGAAACAAGTGAAGAAACAAGGCCCCCTTGCCGCTCTGACCCACCGGGAGCTTTCCATGTACCGCAACAAACAGCAGGGGCAGCACCCACTACCTCACAACATGCAGTACCCGGGTACACGAACTGGTACGTATTGTAGTAGAAGTTTAGTCTCTCTCTCCGGCGCCCGGCGAACTTGAACTTGTAGTCACAAGAAAAAACGTCATGATGACGTACTTCATTCTGCTTGCCGTGGGAGATGCGCATCGTTACGCGAGGAAGGCGTTAACTCCTCGCACATAATATTATGCTGCCGTAGACCCTATCTCTCAAGCTCAACCACAGCTGTACCCGATACATGGTAGCATCATGTCCAGCTGTAGAAGAATAAAAAAAAAAACTGTCTTCTTGGTGGCGAAGCGGGCCCTCTTTGTTGTGACTCTCCAACTGCTTGCTGTTCGTGGATGGCCACATGGCGACACAGACAGAGTTTGACGTCGGTCTTATCCACCACAGGAGGTTGAAGCTATACTCAAAGTCGGGGAGGGGTCGTGATTTGCAATTCCCTACGGAACCATACTTGAGGCGCCATGAAATTTACACTGCAGAAGAAGCCGAGGTTGTTAGTCGGCAGGGAAACACAAAAAACAAAATTCATGGGTGGGTTGGGTGAGTGGAGGACCCCAAAACAATGAAACAGTCTGCTCGTTCGTATAGCGGTAGCGGTGCGCATCTATCGCGACGGCAAGCAAGCGCATTGAGATAATAGTTCGTCCGTCGTGCTTCTAGTCTACACAGACAGATACCAGTAGTCGTGTTCTTTGTTGCCACTTCATACCAGAAAAGAAAGAAAGTCTCCACCAACTTACAGTATCTCCACAGCAGTTCGGAAACGACGACTAGACTATTTTTCTTTCGTCGTGTTAGTTGTTGCTGAGCGCACATCGGCGGATGTCGCCGTTCGTTACACGTATTCAAGTCTGCGGTGGGCCAGAGGGACGAGAGTGGGTGTCTTCTCTAGAGTTCATGCCTTGTCTTCTCGAGTCTCCCTTCCTTTAGTCTACCTCTCTCTCTCTGTTGCATTTTTGCCGTTAGGGTCCCAATAATGTCGAACGTCAATGGCAATCGTTTTGCATCTTGCTGAGTAGGAGTGTACGTACCCGGTTGCTGCATGTGAGGCGATGGGCGCCGCCTCTTTCCGTCAAGCAATCAATGCACATGGCCCCTACGGTTCGCCGCACATGTAGTGCTGTGTGACAGCTTCCAGCGGTTCAGAGCGGCGACGATGTTTTTCGCCGGTAGGGCTCCAGAACAACGCGAACCACATTCCGAGCACAACAGCAGCAACCGCAGCAGCAGCCGCATGTGTACAATGGTCACTCAAGAACAAACGCAAAAAATAAATAAAAAGTGATTGTGGCGCGCAGCACGCAGGACCCTCTTTCGCTGTTCAACCGGCCGTTCCCATGGCGAAACAGGGCAAGGAACAGTCAAGGTCGACTCTTGCCGGCCACAGGAGGCGGAAGCTGCTCAAACTCGGGGACGGCTCATGGTTTGCGATTCCACACCGAACCATACTCGAGGCGCCACGAGATTTACACTGTAGCTCGAGATCGGCATTTGAGACAGGGTCGGGCAAGGGGTGGGCTATGCGAATAAAAGTTCCACGGATATTGAAAGATGAAGCTTCAGAACTGTACGAAGGCAGCGTTTGCGTGGAGGGCAACATCGAAACTCGGCGTAAAGTCACACCGTAAGTTGCACTGATTTCTGTCTCTTAGCGCTGCCGGGATTGGTTGCATGTTTCAACGTGACGGGTTGACGAGGAAAAGGACAAGGAACGGCTGATGATCCTCCCCAACAGCAACAATATGCCAAACACCGCAGAAGAAAGAAAGGTCGAGGAGAAATACAATCCTCTGCGAGGCATTTTCCTCATTTTCGTGTGGCACCCCTACTGGCGTGTCCACAACCACGCCGAAGCGATGTAAAACGTGACGTCCAGAAGGAAGACATGTATGTTTTCGAAAACAATCTTCATGTCATTCTCGGGGGGAAAAAGTGATCAAAAACGGACCAAAGACCCACCCATGTAAATAATGGGCATCCAGGTGAGGTGTTTCCTAAATGGTAGCATTTAATTGCGCCGCGTTCGGGCGCGGGTTGTGACCACGAGGACGACGACTACTACAAGCAGCAGAGTCCGCGCGGTGCAACAACAAAACGCACATGCACCCACGAGGCAAGCACGCCCAAGCAAGACCCAAATCTTAAGCCAATTCAGACCAAAGTTAAACCACCAGTGGTCTCAATACTACAATACCCGCCGACCTTCGGAATCGGCAACGACACCAAACATGTCGGAACGACAGAAGAATTCAAGATTCACCAAACCGTCACGCAAGAGACTAGGACTACAGGGTGGTAGCTTTCCAAGGCGCTGCCTCACCCCCGCACCGGACAATGACACGACGACAACTGGACAGATAGCCAATCAGATTATTTCAGCGACGCAACACAACAGTTGACCCCACCAGTAAACACTGAGAGCACTTTCTCCCATGTCCTTCAAAAAGGAACAAAACTCCTCACAACGACAGACGTTACTTTTCCATTTCCACTAAGCAAACCTCAGGCGGCAGGTGAACCCACTGCCAAGAGCACGCCGCGGGCGGTGTAACAGGGGGCCGGCACAGGAGCACGCTCTTTCGTGGTCTCTCGTTGCTTCTTCTTGCCTCACTCTCACCACTAGATACCATTACCACCAACCAGCACACCCTCCTTTTTTTTTCGTTGATACTGCAGCTTTTCGCCACCTTCTCCACTCCGAAACTAACTGTTTTTTTCTCACGCAAGATCCGAAGAAACAAGAAAAATAAGGCGAGCAAAGAAGCTTGTTTAACATCGATGATGACAACAACAGCAACAACAATAATAACAACAACGGCAACAACCAACATCCCGAGCATACCCGTTCAATACACGGATCCACGTCCCTCAGGAGACTAAAAGAAAGCGTGGTTGGACGACCACAAACAAACAAGCAAGTACGCAAGTGGCGCGCGGCGGGCCCGCGCCATACCCGCAGACACCCGGAAAGCGGAGAGAGCACGGCTTCCCTTTCTGGAAGAAAGCGAGTGCCCATGGCAACGCGCACAAAGAAGATGGCACACGGGAACGAAGTAGTCTGTCCCCCCCCCCAACGAGAAGAGAGTACGCCCGTCTGCAGCCACAACCCGAACATCTTCTCCATCCCGAACCACACTATTGGGGCCTCTTCAAAATCCGATAGGCCGCGACGAAAGGCAACCGCCACCTACACAAAATATCTAGTGGGTGCTTCAATGCACAGGCGCACCAAAGACCTTGATACCCCATTCTTGATACCGATCCGAGTAGTAAATGAGATGCGTCTACTTGTACAGGTAAGTTCATTTGGGTCCAGCTCCGACCCCAATTGGTGTCGAAGACACGGCGAGAACATACAAAAATAACCCCAAAAAGACAGAATAGACTACCACCAAAAACGCTCTCCTCGCAACGCCAGCAAGCAGTCGCACAGACAATAACAACGCGCATGGGTATGTTGAGCCCGAATACAACATCGAACAGCTAAACAAATAGCCGGGCACATGCGACGCTGCATGTCGTCCGTGAAACGGGAGAAAGGACAACGGCGCCGACAAATCAGTGCCGCAAGCTGTTGCCGCCCTCACGCTCTCCTTCATTCGCCTGCGGGGCACGCTCACCTGGGAATAAAATATCCTGCGGGACCCCCCCCCCGCCCCCTCAGCAACAATCTCAACACATCCCACCCCGCCGACGAAAAAACATGATGGAACTCAGAAACTGAGCCAGCCTCACAGCACAACCAAACAGGGGCCACCGACCGACGTCCTCCTGCTCAAGGACGGCCAGCGAACACGACAAATGTCTCATGATGCTGTACAGGGTACAGCTCCCACTCGAACCGGATACCTCTACCCCTTCTCCGCTCGAAAACCATCGAACGAACTGCTGTGTCGCTCGCACCGGAAGCAGACGAGCCCCAGCGCAAGCGCCCGACGAGTGTGCAGCAGTACATTTCATGAGCAAATGATTCGGCGTTGCCCCTCGCCCTCCGACAGCGGTGAGCAGGAACAGAAAGCGATGCAATTTCCCGGGGGACAGAGCAAACACGCTTTCACGCAACGGGTTTCCAACGCAGACGACACGCAACCGCCGAGACGCAGCAGGCAACCAAGACTCTTTGCCGCCCGTGTAAGCGTACAAGCTACAAGTATAGTGGCCGAATCCTTCATCGCTCACTGTTCCTACACCCGCCGGGGCCACATCCTGAAAGACCCCACTCTCGATGACTACCGCACCGCCAAAAAAACGATATTCGCCGAGCCCCCCAAGCGCGGTAGACACCAAGCAACGAAACCGGCTCGTCACCTACTCCTTGCTTCCCGGTACAAAGTACAGCTATCCTCGGTCGTGTCCTGGGGGTGTCTTCTACTGTACACACCGTTTCGGCCTCTATATCTAGCACCACCCTCTTTGCTCTCCCGCACCCTCTTCGAGCGAGCGGAGGGAAAACAAAAAATCGATGGCTAGCTACACACCCCCGACGAACCCTACATATTGAGAAAGAAAAAATAAAAAAAACACCAATTCCAACCACTCGCCGACACAGATGGACTATGCTCTGAACATGCAGAATCCCGTGAGATGCAGAATCTCGTGAGGGAAGTTCGTGTGCAAGGCAGAGAGAAAGGAAGAGAGACAACAATTTTTCTTGGTTGACATGCAAGGCCAGAAAAAAAATTACTGACGACATGGAAAGCTACAGACAAGGGAAGCCTGCAGGCACCCGGAAATCGAGTCAACACATGACACACCCGCTTGACTGTGGCACTCCTACTACCAGCAGTTTAGCTTCCCACTAGAGCGGATACACCACAAAACACGCACGCCCCGTGGCCCCAAGTGGTTTTACCCCTTCCCTCCCGGAGCTCGCTCATCATGTACAACGTGCAAAAAGGCGGGAAAAAAAACACACGCTCGGCACCACGCCTGACATCCACAAACGAACCCAGCCTACATGCCCCCCCCCCGCCTCTTTGACTCGCGAGGGACGCCTATGACCTAACACTCCCAACCAAAAACGCCTCGGTACAGAGTAGCAGACGAGAAACAAGTAGATACTATATTACAGTGGAAGTTTCAGTAGACAAAAGAGGTCGGAAGGTCACACAGCAAGAGCAGCGGTCAACGGTGATATGAGCCACGCGACGACGAGCCAGGTAAAGACTAAAGTATTCTTTCTGCCCTCCGAGCCCGATTGCATCCGCAGCACACACAAACCAGCGGCCAGGCAAAACGTCCGGCGCACCCCAACAAAAAAAAAAAATCACATCTCCTCCTTACGAGAGAGAGGATGAACGCGACTTCCAACTCCTCGCACCGCCCAAGAGCGGTGCCAGCGTCGAGCCCAAAGGGACACGACGTACAGCTCGAAAATCCCCCATGACATCTATCAGAGGCGCGCGATCTCACCGTGCGTTACATGTACCGCACCGTGCCGAGCAGAGCAGTGACTGCCCACCCGGAAGAGGCCTCGCTTCAGTCGGCCCCAGAGCACCAGGGCCTCCCCCCGCTTCCCCACCCAATACATGCCAAAAGTAAATATTACGGTAGAAAAGACCCCCCTCTTTTAACTGGTCTCCCTGCGCACAGGAACGACGTGCCGTCAGTCAATGCATTTCACTGACTTAGCCTAATTTCGTTTCGTCGTTACGTCGTTATAATTCCAGTCAAGCAAGAACGCGGCAAACACTTCATAGGGTTTCACTCATCATCCACAACCCGTGCACTAGAAAAGAAACGCATTCATGTTTCATCTTTCCTCCAGAGTCGTAATAGTATCGATTTACTAACGCTCTGCACTGCTAGCGCTGTCCCATGTCGAGAGCACAGAGCGCGGCGCAACAAAAATAAACTGATCCCAAAATCAAACCTCGCTTGATATTCTAGCGAGGCGCCATGCTCGCAAACCTCGTGACCCATGCGGGAGAGAGAAAACTGCACACACAAAAAAAAATGCTTGAGCAGCCATGCATTGCATAACGTGCGCCTCGTACGTGAGGCGGGTAAAACGAAATTTAGAAGAAAAAAATAATATACGGAAGTGCGGGGAGGGGAGCGAGAGCGATCACACGGCTCGGTCCACATAAAATGTCGAAGGGCTTTTCAAAACGAGCACGTAAAAATCTCATCATCATCATCATCACGATCAAAAAGCAGGGCCGCCGACTGATGCTGCAAGCACATCAGTATATCAACGTGCTCATGTTGAGAACGAAGCTGCCTGACGCTATCGCGATGGCGGGGAGGAAGTGATACCAGGTCAGCATGGTCATCCTGGGACGCGAGAACGAGCGAAGCGCAGAAATGAGAGGGGAAAAGGACGTCAGGGAGAGCGGGGGGGGGGGGGGTTGGAAGCGCCTTCGCCAGGATATTGTATTGAGTTTTACATGTGAACGTGCAGAGAGGGTTCGTGACCCTAACCCTCCCGTAACCCCCACTAAAACCAAGACTAATATCGTCGCCAAGGCTACATGCTGGTACAAGACACCACGTTTGTATGTAAGGTAGATATCATCAGCAACGACAATGGCAGAGGCAAAAACACCCGGGAAGACGGGCTCCTTTTGGCGGTTGCAGAGAAAGCGTAAGCGCACAGGGTAATTTCATCCGTGGCGAGACCCGAAATACGCAGCAGCAGCAGCAGCAGCGCACACCACACAACAGCAACACGCTTGTTGGCTCTTTTGCGTAAAAAAAAAAAAGGTTACACCCACACACGCAGGCCGCGAGAAAAAACATTAGTCGCAAAAACAAACGTGAGAAAACGAGTCCAGAAGCTTACTTTTTCCGACATCGGTACTACTCTCCCTGCGGTGTGTGATGAAATTTCCGGTAAACAGGTTACCGTAGGTTGCATGACGAGAGACAACACCCCCCCTGGACCGATTTCAAAGCTCGATTCCCGATTATCGTCAACAACAGCGGCCACGGTGTCGAGAATGGGAGCGGGTTTGGACCGCCTCGCCGAAAACTTTCCGAACGCGTATGTATCGTTTGATATTCGGCATCCTCCTCGTCGTGGAGCAATCGAGCATTCAAAATTGAGCATAGGGGTGTGGTATCTACCGCGCAACCTACGGCAGCATCTGTTCACACCCAAGCAGCAGGGATGATGGCAAGGGGGCACAAGCGATAGTCGTCCACTAACCTCCAGGCGCTCCCCCCCACGATGAGAGAGGTGATGATCAGGTTCCACACGATCATGAGCCGCACCGCAGCCGTGTAGGTTGCGTTGCGCTTCCTGCGGTGAACCATCGGCCGAACCAGTGACAACCACGCCAGACAAGACACCCGTAACCACTGTTAGAAGGTTCATTCCATGCATCATGGGTTAAGCACGCTGCTGCTGTACATGTACCAGTGTGTTGCCAAAACGTCACAAGCGTTACACCAAAATTGCACAACTTCTGCTAAAATGAAGAAAAAAAAATCAGGAATCTCGAGCGGTAGCCATTCTAGGTTTTCATGTGTACTTGGAGATATTTTCCAAAAAAACAGGGTTTCCATTCTACGCATGAACAAAACGGAGGCATGTTTCGCGCGCGGGGGGGTCTTCCACCGCGACCCCGGATGGGAGAAAACAACTGCGGGCTTTCGTTTCTCTCCCAAAGGTGGTCAATGACGGTTGGTGGATGGTGGATGGTTGAGACACCAATCTCAGGGAGGAGGCCTGTTGAACGTCAAGACCTATGCATAACAGCTCCAACAACACCAAGCCAAGGGGAGCTTCAAGCTGTTCGCAGCCATCAAAAAGGACCAGCCGAAAAACACGCGAGGTCCAAAACCAAACGAAAATTAAGTTGTTCTCGAGGAATCCACACAATCTTCGTTCCTTGACAATGTAAAAAAAATAGGCCATTGACCTTTGAAAAAAGCGGGGCCACGAAAAGTCAGGCATACAAAAACATACCACCAATGCCGTTAACGACTGCTGTGTGTACCCATGAAGTCAGGTTTTGATTTGATCCTGCTTCACTCACTTGGCGCTTCCCGAACCGGACGGAAGCCACGGGGCATGGGTGCCCATGAAGGTGTCCTTGATGGCGAACAGGTGGGCGTAGCTGCGATACCAAGGGCGGTAAAGGGGGGGGGGGAAGGGAGGGGGGTGACGCCGTTTGGGGGGCTTCGGGATGAGCTACGCGCGGTTTGAGCGTACAATGTATTGCGGCGTTGGGGTTCTCGCTACAATGATCGCCCATGCCCGTAGGGGCTTGAGAGGAGCGTTATCAAGAGTGAAGTGGATCGTCAATTTCACGAGGTAACTACCACCGTCACCATGTCTACACATACTCTACTTCGTACTCGCCTTGCGTTAGGGATACTACAACTGGCCGCATCACCAGTGTGTGTGCGAGAGACAGAGACAAGACAGCCAGACAATACTAATACTGTACTAAATACAATACTGTAGCATGCGCTTCTCAGCTTCTCACCACTGGAGAACCTTGACCCGTTGGGCGGCCAACCCGTACCGCTGCTTGGACCACAGGGGCATGATGATCCCGGCGAAGATGAGCGACGGCATCACGAACCCGGAGTGGTACCAGAGCACCCCGTCAGCCTCCATCCACACCAGGAGCATGATCGGGATGGGGGCCACGAAGATGAGCTGCTCCAAACCAAGGCCGAGCATCAATAAGGTAGGAGGGAGAGAGAGACAAGAGAGAGACAGAGAGAGACAGAGAGAGAGAGAGACAGAGAGAGAGAGAGAAAGGCAGTGAGAGAGGCAGAGAGAGAGACAGGGAGAGACAGGGAGAGAGAGGGAGAGAGAGAGACAGAGCATGAGAAAAGAGAGGATATGGGAGAGCGTGCAATTGGGAACGACATGACAACAAAAAAAACGGCAGGAAAGAGCGCTACGTGCGGCCGAGGTACACATGTGGATGGCAGCAAATCTACCCACATCACACCAACGGCCAGCCCCAAGCTGCGGCCAGGTTCCCATGGGGAAACAACAGAAAAAAAAAAATGCCTCACAGCAAGTGGTACGCACGCCCTTGGACAACAGGGGCCCGGCAGAAAACACGCGATTTTCAAATACTACGTACCAGGGCGGTGGCCATGTAGTACAGCATGCCGTTCAGGAAGCACAGCTTGTGGAGATTGGAGATGCCCGACTTCCAGAATTCCTTCTCCCTGATGAGCGTTGAGCTTCCCTTGCACCAGCGGTACTGCTGCATGAAGTAGCTCTGCGGCTCCTCGGGGCAGATCCCCATCGCTAGCGCCAGCGGCAGGTACTTGATCTGCGGAGGCGAAGCACAGCCCGGAGTGAGGGGTCAGATAAAGACGCTCTGATGGGGAACAGTGTGGTGCTTGTACTGCAGCCCGCGTCATCTGGCCATTCATATACCTTTTCTCTTTTTGGTGCAGTGCTTGGCATGAGACCACGGAACGGGTCCCCATCAGTTGGACGGAAACGGACAACAGAACGTGACAGACGCGAAAAAGCAAAAAAAAAGTCGCTCGCACACAGTTTCCGGACGGATCTGGGCACCTATTCTACCACCCTCCGAAATCAGGTCCAAAGCCATGCATCATATATACTTCGTAAATAGGAGCACATCCCCCCCCCCCCTCTCGTCGCATCATTTCTTGTCGAATGATATGGCGGAGCCCCCTCTGAAACGCACGCACGTGTAGTCACACCAACACACCTTGAACCCGTGCTCCGTCATCTTGTAGCCGGTGTACATGTCCTCCGAGTGCTCGATGGCCGCCATGCCACCTAGCGGTTCCAGAGCCGTTCTGCGGTACAGTCCGCAGGACCCCACGCACACGGCCGCGTTGAACCTGTCCTGGTTCATCTATTGCAACCGCAGCAGCAGCAGCGGCAGCAATATGAGTTATACCAGGTATAGTTTAAGTCGGGAGTGGTACAGAACAAATGGCTACTGCACTTCACCACGGACGTTGCACGCACAATCGGTCGATCTCGTCATGCTCTGTTGACTACCGTTAACCGTGGAGAGAGGGATCACACTCCAAGACTAGAGACTGCGCGAAAAAAAAACACACACACAAAGGCAGTTCGCGTCTTGTTATCCCGCAAGTAAGGCCGGTATTCCCATTGGTCAGCAAGAGCCCACACACCTGCACCATGCGGTAGAAGAACTCCTGCGAGACCCCCGCCCCCTGCTCGATCCACGTCTGCTCGTCGCGGACGCGGAAGAACTGCGGCGTCTGAACGATGCCAATGGTGGGATCCTCCCCGAAGTATGGCACGGTCTCCTTCAAGAATTCCGGCCTGAAACACGCGCACAAAGTCCAAGCGTAACAGACACATACAAGACGATGGAAATGCTGCTGAACAAAAAGCGGAGCAAAAGACGGCGGATTTAGCCATCCTTTGCGCTGGGTCAGCGCCAATCAACTCGCCGGTAACCTCGCGGTTTCATCGGTTTGCCCGTAAGTGTCATCACATATATAGTCACACTCGGTGTGCACGAAGTCAAGAGAACAATACTTCGTGTGCAGTGAAGAGGGGCCCGAGATAGTACGAGTCGGAGAGTGCAGTTACCCGTTATAGTGTGGGTGCCTGATATAGTGCGGTTCAAATTGACTTGGCACACAGAAGGAATATCAAAGATGATTCAATACATGGAATAATGCGGGTGCCCGCAATAGATATTGCGGATGAACACGCTCGGCACATGCCCGCAGTATAGCGGGCCCCTGCCTCTACATACCCCCAACACACGCTGACCGCCCCCCCCAAAAAAACATTGTACTTCTTGGGAAGCCAAAGCGCGCGAAACGCAGCAGCACTGACTACTACCACAAAATACAAACTGTCCGATAACTTCGTACCACGGGCCATGTATCATATCATTGCGTGTTCTCACTAACCTGGGGCAAAAGTCGGCGTCGAAGATAGCGATCGCTTCCCCCGAGGTCATCGCGAAGGCGTTGCGCAGGTTTCCCGCCTTCTTCAGCTCCGGGGCGTTGGACCGCAGCACGTCTACACGGCAACCAGAGCACGTCGCAACGCACGGCGAAAGCGGTGCGGATTAACCACAACAAAAACGGCAGATTCTGAAGAAAGGGAAAAATAGAGTGGAAAGAGAACGGCAACAACCTTCGACCGGTTCCAAGGGTCCATCAACAGGCCGTGTAAGAACAAACTGCCTGTAGCAAGTGTGTAAGAGGCAGCAAAACGGAGATTTTCTCCCGCTATTTACCTCGCGCGAAGCACGAACACTACATGTAAATGGCGGGAGGACGGTGAACGGGACGTTCAGAGGTCCCGCAGAACTGAGTGTCGCATGAGAGAGCAATCAATTCCACAAAAAAGAGCGGGCGAGCTCGAAACATCCGTACAAAGAAACGCCTTCGAAACCTTCTTCATCTCGAAAGGGAGGATCGACTGAAACAACACATCCCGCTCGTGCTCCGCCGTGTCTCCTGTGCAACCCCGTGCCATTCGTATGCCCTCTTCTTCGGAGTCCTCCTCCTACTACTACTATTACTACAGTGGGGATCCCCGTACAAGGCGGTCGCCCTATACACGGCGGGCGAAAATTTGCAGGCATAGACGGGATAATCGAGTTAATCCAAACATTGAAATAAGGCACCTGCCCCACCCCATATGAAGCGCGCGGGCATTACCTACAAGCTTCCCCCACCACCGGCTTTTTCGGTGAACGCCACGGTACTACCACCACCACGACTCAACATTCGAACCCGAACACGGCTCACATTCGAACCCGAACACCGAAGCGAGAGCCTTGACCTCGTCGCTGGCACCGTCGTCCAACACGAACACCTTGAAGTCGGGGTAGTCCAGCGCGGCCACGTACTTCCACGTGTTGGCGAGCAGGTACAGCGGCTCCTTGCACACGGGCAGGAACACGTCCACCGAGGGCATGTAGCCCTTCTCTTCCGACGCCTTCAGCACCTCCGCGTGCTCGTCCAACTTGAAGTCTCTCCCCCACATGGCAATGCCGAAGTCTGGGGGTTGACGTCAGTAAGTATCGAGGGAGGTGGGGGCACCGCATGAGGGGGGGGGTACTCTTGGCTTTGTATTGTTAAGCAAGGGACGACGCACGGCGGCGGGTTTCCACCGAGAAGGCGTGCGAGTGGACGAGGGCAATGGGCAGACGCGACAGCCCGTTTTTGCAAGAGTTCAAGACGGTTCGAGCGTGTGACCTCCTGCTCGGCCGAATACCGTCTACGTTGTGTAGAAACAGCAGGGGGTCGCTAGCCTCTACACCTGTAGGAACTCCCTTACGGGGGGCTTCCAATCAAAGCCCGATCGCAGTACGAACAGAACGAAATCTGAAACACACGTGTTCATATTCTTGGCCCCGACACACGACTGACGTCTATTCATTGGTCAGCCGGTTGGCGCGATCGGAGCTCACAAGACAAATCACAACAACAAAAAACTGTCGAATGTCCATTGGTCGGCCGGTTGGCGCGGTCAACGCAAAAAAAAAAAAACAGCAGCATGCATAGATACCGTATACGACACAAGATAACACGCCTCTCTCGACCGATTTTCGAAGCTCGATTTCTGAACAACAGAAAAGAGTCACAGCGCCGAAAACGGCGGCGTTGAACCCGTCTCGTCGAGAGCTTTCCGAAAATACATCGGTTCGTTTATGCATCCTCTTCGTCGTGGCGTAATCAAGCTTTGAAAATCGGTCCAGGGGGTGTGTTACCTCGTGTCGTGTAAGGTAGTAACCAGCGGCCCTACTCTCCAAGACCACCCGCGGTCCATCAATACCCGCCCCCCCCCCCGCTCCCCCCCCCGGGAAGCTTCGATGTCACTACTCACAGTGGCAAGCGGTGTAGAAGATGAGGAAGATTGGCCGGTGCACCGAACCAGTAGAAGGCCGGGGTAACGATTGTGAAGAGCCACATGCCCCACGTCAGCGTGATGAACGATATGACGGCGCAGGTGATGATGCCGAACCGTCCGGTGTTGCGGTAGATCACCTGGTGTGCCGGTTCGTCGCAAACCAACCCAAGATGCGGTGGGATGCAGATGCGGTGGGATGCAGAAAAAAAAAATCCTGAGAACTTTCTCCCTCGGATTGGGAAACTGCTTGCGCGCACAAGGGAGAGAGAGAAGCTTCGAGACGACGGTCGCGGACGTGCAGCGGTGACGACAGGTAGAGGGGAACGCTGACTACGGTTCGGCTTGCAGGCGTGACACGCGTGCATACAGCTGCAACGCGGAGCTGCTTCAGGCTATGAGGGAGCTTTCGAACGACTGCTTGCTCCGACGAAACCAGCTACACCTTACGCACACAACAGGAAGTCACGAGAGTGCGACCTACTAAAATCGACCAAGGCTGGCCAACACAACATTCCCCGAGGGAGTCACCAATACAGCAGAGTTTTCCTTGAACATGGAAAACGTGGTGAACTTACCAGGAATGCCTCTTATCGCCAGGTTTCTGACGTTCAACCTACAACTCTTTGGGGTATGGTAGGTTAAACCCTAGCCAAAATACACGCTAGAGTCTAGGGGTGAGCAAAGTAGTGTGCGACATCAACACGCGAGCCAGACACGACGACGACCACCCGCGATAGCCTCCAGTCCCGTACCGGCATCATCACGACGTGACCCCCCACCTTTTCTTCGTCGGTGGGCGCGCACGGCAGCACCGCCTCCTGCTCGGCCGTCGCCGCGGCCGCCAGCATGATGTCCTCGACGTCCGCGACAGCGGCGACCCCGGTCGACCCGTCCGCCACGGCCGCCCCGCCCGCGGCGGCGGCGGCAGCTTCGCCGTCGGCGCTGGCCGGCCGCGTCCCGCCCTCCTCAATGTCCCCCTCGATCTCGAACCTCGCCCTCGCGGCGGCGGGACTGGTGCCCGCCGACGAGGTCTCGTCCGCCGCCGTGCTGGCCGTGGACCCCAGCGGCGACACCAGCGGGGTCTTCCCCAAAAAGCCGTCCCCGCCGAAAGCCGGCGCCCGACCATCCTTGCCGATATCGTCCTTTCCGGCGGGGTCGTAGATGTGGTGAGCCTTGTCGGCGGGGTCGTTGATGTGATGGCTAGCTCCGCCCGCGCCGCCGAGCTTGTCGTTGGACAGGACCAAGGAAGACCGCGGTTCCTGGCTCGAGTGAGGCGCGGGAGGCATCATTACCGCCGCCGAAGACGCCGAGTTCGTCGAAAAGAACCTTCTGGACGGGAACACCCGAGAGCTCGCCGTTATCGGCAGCATGCTGACCCCGCTAGCCGCGCGCCGGAGCCTGGTGCTGAGGCGGTTACCGTTGCCAGCAGCAGGCGCAGCCGCCTCCGCCGACGAGCCCGCGGATGCGGACCGCACATGGTGGTCGCGTCCTTCCGAAAGCGACGACGAAGTAGTGCTGTTGCTCCAGAAGGGGTTGGCGTCGGGCGTGGGGTTCGTCGCGTGCTCGGCTCTCGCGGCGACCGCTGCGGCCGTCGCCCACAGAGAGGAGTTGTCGGCGTAGAAAGGTGAGATGCGGTTGTCGGTGACGGTAGCGCTTCCCTGGGCCGTGGCAGGGGCAGGCGTCGCCGGTGCCATCATGGTCGGCGCCGCCGGCGCCCACGACATCCCCCCGGACGGGGAGGGCATCTCCATCGTCCCCGCTTCGCCTCCGCCATCATTGTCGTCACTCCTCCTGTTACTGGACGCCCTTGAAGACGGCCCGGTCGCGTCTTCGCAGGTGCTCCCCGTACCCGTGGGGGATCCCAGCTTCTCCGCGCCTTTCATGACAACGCCGCCGTCGCCGTCGCCGTCGCCACCGATGACGACGACATCGACATCGCTGCTTGCGCTGTCCTCGTCGCCAACGAAACGCAGGTCGTCGAGAGAGATGGGCTTGCTGATGTCCGCCATTCTGGGCGGGAGACGGCGACCACCAATACAGCCCACTTCAACTCCACCGCTGTCACAGGAACTAACGTCAGCCATCGCTCCCGACTCTCCCCCCGTCGACGACGACTCGGCTTCATTCTCCAACAGCGCACCAAAGTCGGGGATGCCGCTCCTCGTGCTGGCGGGCCTGCCCAAGGGCAGCGTCGTCTGCTCCTCGCCGTCTTCCGCCGTCGCTTCGGACACCGGGCTAACTCCGTCCGACTCTCCGTCGCCGTTGCCCCCGGTCTCTCCCTCGCCGATGTCACCCTCGCCCGCTCCACCGGCCAACATCCCGGCGAATCTCGACAGGTTATCTCGGCTCCCGCTCCCGCTCCCGCTGGCAGCGGCCGCAGCGCCGCCGGGCACGTGCAGGTTGGACTTCGCGTCCGATACCGTGTCGAACATGTGCTGCTGATTATCGGCACCAACGGGGGCCGGGGACCCTGAAGCGGCGGCGGCGGTGGCGCCTTCGGCGAGGGAAGGCGCCCAGCCATCAACGAGTGACTCCGCAGTGGACCCCACCCTCCGGATTGCCATCTGCGGGAAGCCGGGCACCGACGACCCCTGCTGCTGCTCCAGCTGCTGCTCCAGCTGCTCAAGGTGCTCCTGCTGCAGAGTCGAAACCGTTGCCGCCCCGCCCCCCGCCTGGGCGCGCTGGGTCCTCTCGGGCGTGTCCTCTGTCTCCGTATCGGTGCTGGACGCCATACCCACGACCTTCCTTCTCACGTTGCCCGTGCCGGGCGGGGTGGGCGTGTCCGACTCGGTGGACGGAGACCCCGGGAGCGGTCCGGAGCCGGCGGCGGCGGCGGCGGCGGCGGCGGCGAGGCCCTGCCGTTTCCCGAGGGGGGGGGGGCAACGGGTGGACATTTAATTGTTGTGCTTGCCGCATGCACATGTTGTGATAGCCGCATCTCGCGAACTACTTGGGACAGGTTTGTCGGTCGGTGACCTTTGCCGTGAATAAAACAGAATCATGCACGTCGGCGTTTCTGCCCTCGCTGGGTTCCACGGCTGCTGCTGGACAGCAGTAGTGACGCGTTTTTCTCCAGATGGGGTGTCAAAACATCAACCACCTAAATAAATGTAGCGTACTACTAGCTGTGCTGCTTGCGCCAACGACCAACTCATCTACGTCAGGGAGCACAGGGCAATAGCAGGGGCGGGGAATGCGTGCGCGGCGTAGGTTCGACAGTGAATGCGCTGTGGAGCGGGAGTGGAAAAACTGGGGTACTTGAGATCCATGCGCGAAAAAAAGCGAAAAAAAAAATAAACGAATACTCGCAAAGACACACACACCGCATTCGGAGTCACAGAGAACGCTTTCCAATTCAACGGCCACTGTACCACCAGCAACGAAAACCGTCAGTATAGATACGAGATCACGCACGCTGCTCCGAAACGTGCCGGAGGCACGTCGTCTTGCCGACAGCAGCCAAACAAGCGTCGGAGTAACATTCGTGTGAGAGAGACAGAGAAAAAGAGAGGCGCCCGGCGGCGGCCGGCCAGCCTGCGGAATAAAAACACCACAGCAGCCCGATGCGAGCGGGTTAACCAGACTACAGCGGCCCGCGCGCAGTAGCAGCAGCAGCAGCAGCAGGCACGACCGAGATTGGGGGCGGTATGCATAGGTGTGTCGAGAAGAGAATATTCGTTGTTGACAAATTTACGCATAGGACCCTCAGCAAAGTCTCTCTCGCACGCCGTCACGTTCGCCCGCTGACGAGCAGACTCTGCTGTTCTTTCCACGCCGGAACGCCGGGGTGATGCGGCACACGCCGGCCAAGCTGGTGGCGGCGTCGACACAAGGAAAAACGGAAAGGTGTCTCGAGAGGCCTCTCATCACTCCGCGGACGAGAAATGCCGCCGCGCGTTACGCGGGGGCACTGAAGTGCGGAAAAATAGCACTGTTGTACTTTGGTTGCTGTATGACCCCATCGCGAATGTAACGTCGACATCTCCAACACGAAAAATATACATGAAAAATCGTGTTGCCTCCTTCCGCGTGTAGAAAATAAAAATGGGTCAACAACGGATGGATAATCTGACACGCACCCCCAGCATACATGACCATCTTGCGCGAATAGGCCAACGCCGGTATCAGGTGGCCAGAATTGCGACCGCGGATCCCTCCCGACGAAATATTGCCTTGCTTCCGCGGGTACCGGTAGAAGAGAATAAAAAAACAAGGAAGGGCGGTCTGCCGGCACACTTCGAAAGGTCGTGCACAACGCACCTTCCGTTGAATTACTACAGCAGTACATACATACCTTGAGCGTAAACCCAGCGCCCGCCGCAGCGGCCAGGTTGGCTGCCGCGAAAGCCTCCCTGCTGGCCTTCCTGCCGTGGCACGGTGTCTCCGCGAGCTCCGTCGCCGTCGCCGCTGCCGACGATGCCTCCAACTCTTTCCCTGGAGCCTTGCCCCCGACGTTGCTGTCGTCGTCATGGCTAGCTACCTTACCCCCAGCCGGATAGGAGCTACCCACATGATGCGGCTGGGTGGCGACATCTCCCATTTCCGAGCTGCGCCAGGAATCCTGCTTTTGTGGGTTCCCAGGAGAAATTGTGTGTGGGGGTAAGGTTAAGGCAACGCTCGTCATATCGCAGTACGTGTGTATCGTTCGGGCACAAAATAATTGTTCATGCGGGAC